TCTCTTAATTTAATAAACCCGTGAATTGGAATGTGTTCAAGAGTTTATGTTAATAAAGAAAAATTTTCTAAAACATAATTATTTTTACTTATTTTTAAAATTGTTTAAATTAAGTAATACCCATTTTGGTAAATGTATAAGAAATTTTAATGAAAAGAGTTAAGTTTTTTAAAAGCAAGATGTCTGAGCAGCGTGACTACTATTATCAGCTTATTAGTTTCCAATTTTCATTTATTACCTTGTTTAAAATATGTTTTCTTATTTTCTCTAATGATCTAAATATCATCTTAAAGAATCAATCCTAAAGAACATTTTTATCTCCAGTGCACAGAACTGTGTATTGGAAATTCTAAATATATGCTCATTTTAAAATTCTTTTGTGACATTGCTATTGAACTGAATTTTATGGTTTAAGTGCAAAGAACATGATATTTAATAAATAAAGGTAACACACAAAACGTTAAAGAAAAGCCCCTTTTGACATAATTTAAATTGAAACTTTCAATATATATATATTAAGATAGAACAAAATATGATTGGTTTCAAAAATATTGACGACCTCAAAATAAATCGAATTTGGTCGCTGCCCCTAAATCTCTCTTCTCACAGGTTCCAGGTCCGTTTAATCAATGCCTCTCGTCCAAAATTAATTCTAATTTTATAAAAAGTCAAGACAGTATTAATCTGGTGAAATTTCCCAATGTTCTTCGAACTCTGCGTCTCAAACTTCCAGTGATCACAAATCATTTCGGTTGTGATTTACGCTTATTCAGAAGGCTTTGAAAATCATCAATCTGTAAGTCCAGAATCGAAAGTGTATTGAATGAAGTCAATGCCGCAGTATGAAATATGGTTAATGTTTCTTGCTCGTTCGAATTCGTAAGTTTATGCAGTTCCGATCATCGCGTAAAAGAAAACATCCAAAGTGCTTTAAGAGCATCACCTGATCAATGAAGATGATTGTGCACTTTGCATTTTTCCGTGCTCTAAGATGGAATATATCAAAAGTTATAATGTGATATTGAGTGGTATTAAGTTCCACTGGAAATTACGTTAAAAAAATTACAGTTTTTGATGTATTGATGTAAGATTTTTGCTTAATCATTTATATCAATGTTATAATTCAAAAAGATATATTTTTAATGTATTTTGTATGCTGATTGGGAAAAAGAAATTATTGATTTGGTAAAAAATTAGGAATGTTTACTTAGGAAGGTTTCTAATGCAATAATATTTTGTCTATTGTTTAAATTTTTTGAATTTAATTTTAATTTACTGTATGTAAGAATGAAGTATTGTTTGAAATTTTTGAGTTGTAGGATTCTTATGTTTTTGATAACGTTGAGCTCTCCCTATAAGAAATCCATTTTTAAATTAAGTATTTTATTTTTTATAATGGAGTGGTTTTTTATTCGAGGAAGACAGCATTCGAAAAGCAGTTGCCTGTACAAGGACGGAGACCTTTTATACATAACTGCTACTTTGGCAAATCTTTGGCCACGTTGAGCATATTAGCACATTGCTCAACTGATACCACTGTAATATAAATGCTAGTATTTAGATAAAGTTGTGAAGTCTTCAGTTTTTAAGATATAATTTTTATGTCTTCATAATATGAAAAGTTGAATTATGTTATGAATATGTTTACAAATTTTATATTTAAATGCCTCCTTGAAAACTAATTAACTAATCTGAAATGGCATCTAATTTGTACGTAATAAAATATTTTCATCAACAAAATTTTAACATTTTCTTGGAATATTAGTTGTGAAAAATTTGAACTTTATATTGTGGACTATCAAGACTTACAAAATTAAGACATTCTTATCTCCGAACACTAAAATTGAAATTGTTTTAAAGATACGTGTCTACATTATTATCGAATTCAAATTTTTGACCTTCATGAAATGTCAAATTGATCAAATACGGTCAAATTTTTATGACAATAATTTTTGTTGAAAGTTAATTTTTGTATTTTCAAATTATATCTTTCACATTGTGCTTATGCTGTTTCTTCCACCCTGATCACCCAACTTTTCTTTTGAAGGGGTATGTAATATATACAAAATGATAGTTGTTTCAAAAAAATAATTGACGACCTCAAAATTAACATTCTAAATTTGGTAATCTGCCCCTAAATTCATCTCTTCTCACAGGTTCCAGACTTTTCTATCTTATGTAACATTTTAATGCAGATGCCTCTCGTCCAATCAAAATAATTCTAAACCAAAACTGTGAACTGAAACTTCAGCCTTCTTGCTAAAGTACTATAACCTTGCCCTTTTTACCACATAGCTTTCCTGCTGGCAAGACCCTTTGAAAACATGCTGCTGCTGCTTACAATGACGTTCTAATTCAAACTGCAATTTATGTATTCAAATATTATTAAGAAATATCTTATCTGAAAAAGGATTATTTAATATACATGGAAAAATAAAGATTGTGATTTTTTCAAGATATGTTGTGCTAAATTGCATCATCATGCTTTCCACTCTGCCACCTTCAAACCACAGTTTCATTACAATAATATGGCGCAGCCGATTTTCGACCCCACAGGCGTGGAACTTCAGTGCAGTTTATTTTAACTATTTTCACATCGTTTAACGAATGGATAAAATAAAAAAGGTAACTATTCATCTGAATTCCCAATCAAGCCACTACAGTCTTCTCGGTCATCTACGCAGTATCTAAGTTGTTGAGGGTTCCACTGTTTTCATCTACGTATATTTGAAATCATTACATATATATATATATATATATATATATACTAGTTAGCTTTACAATTTCTATTTCAATTATGTATATATATATACTCTGAATTGGCAGAATGACAGGCTCGAAAACAAGTGTGCCCACAGTAATAGGGAAATTTATTGGATAACACACTTAATCACAGTACATGCAATATATACTGAAATAAAAATTTTATAGATTTTCTACACAAGCAATATGCTTTATTATAAAATTAGAGTGTATGTTCTTGTTTATAATTGCATATGTTTGACAAAGTAAGTAATAGTTTTAAAAGTACAGCATTTGGTTCTTTTATGTTAATGCCATATCACTTTTGTTATTTATTTTGGCATAAAATGTTGCCAGTTTGGTTTGGCTTCCCTCCTGGCACTAATAGACTATATAACCAACCCTATTTTCATCTCTTCTTCTTTGCCCCTTAATTATAATGGACTTTACTATTTAGGATTTTAAATATTTCACAGTAAATCATTCTCATCATTTTTCATTTCACTGATTTAGACACTAGGCATTATTCTTAATCTACTGGAAACTCATAGGGCAGCTAGTGCAAAAGAGGCACAATAAATGCCTAAGAGGCACTACCACCAACATTTAGATTCTTGTTTAATTGGATTGATGTGGCATCACTTGCATTCCAAAGCAAAAATGTTCTCTGGTATACTAAATGCAATGCCATTTTTTAAATTCCTGCCTGCAGTTTAGTTTACCTGCTTTTTTTTTTTAGTGAATGTTTATTATCGTTGTTTATTTTTATTTTGAGTAGGTTATTTAGACATTTAAGAAGCAATATATTTAACTTTTCTTTCTTTAATCTCTCTCTCTCTTTTTTTTTTTTTTTTTTTTTTTAAGGGAGATGTTATCAACAGAAGTTGCAGAAAACATTACCCATGTGAATTTAGTAAAAAGGGGAGGAAAATTAAGGGAAGAAAGGATAAGCATTAGTATCTCACCCAATAAATGCAGGGAAAAAATACGGCAAAATGCACTACTGTGGTGCCTAAACAGTGTGCTATGGCTTTAGCAGAGAAGTACCCAGGACATTTGCAATAAACGTTATGATAAAAGTAACTGAGACCATACAAACACATACATAAATTCTTATATACAAACAAATATTGATTACATACTATTTATTGAGATCTTAAGCTCATATAAAAGTCATAAAATACACAATTATAAATATTGACTTAGAGTTACAGCAGCCACTGATTTGTTTCTGAAGAAATGATGTACATTTTCTACAGTTACCCTTTTGAAGATCTGGCAAGCACCAGTGGAGTAGCTAGGGTGGGGCAAGAGGGGACATCTGTTGCCGGGCGCAGCATCCAAAGGACGCCAAATTGATGCTACAAAATTTTTTAATGAAATGTTTTCCATTCTTGGCACACAGAAAAGGACACAAATTCTTCAGTTGTCCCCGGGTGCTGGAAACTCTAGCTACGCCTCTGGCAAGCACATATCACATATTACAAATAGGTTTGAAATATAAATAGAAGGTCGTGATAATGGAATTGTTAAATTACCCAAACATTTTGAATCTGAGTGGAACAGTATTCATATATTTACATTATTTATATATCTCATCCAGAAAAATTACTTGATGACTTGCAGCCATTAGTGTCAATATTTAAAACATACTAACAGCAATATAATAATACAGGACAGAGAAATGAATTTTTAGTTTTTAATTAAAATCTGAACAATGGTAATCTAGCAGGTAAGCAGCATTCATTACCTCCAGATAGCACATATATGTAAATATTATATACATACATGGATACACGATTATGACAAGCCTGCCTAACATAAGAACATACTTTTGAAGTATATCTTAATCCTCTCATGCTTTTATTTCTGCTATGTAAACACTACCAGACATAAAATGAAACAGATGCACTAGGCAAGCAAGTCTAAACTTGACCATAAATTAAGAATTGTCATATAATATGGTCAAATTTATTTTCAAACTGCATACATATCTTTGTTATTAATTAAACATGGCTATCTGTGTAATGCTAAATTATTCATTTATCTGCTTTTATTTATTTATTTATTTATTTGTTAATTTTATTTTTTTCAAACAATTCATGAAATAAATCCAAATATATTTGTTATTAATAATTAAAGAATTGATTTTACCCAATAAACCAGAAAGAAAATGTATTTGATTACAATTTTATTCCAACTTTCATTAATCTATTTTATTCCTTTTAGAACTTGCAATATCTAAATACTTCTAATACTTAATTGAAAAAGCATTTATTTAATTCTTATTCGAAAAATTTCAACATGTGCTTGGTATACATATACATATTCTCACATAGCTCGATTATTGGCATATGAAAAATCTTCAACTGAAAAGCAAACATTATTATTTAGTTAACTTTAACCTGCTCATTTTCTTAAAAAAATTATGTTTTAAAAAAAAACATAATTAAAAAAATATTTTTTTTATACCAGAAGCAATCATAACTTACATTATGGCAGCTTCTAGTATAAAAGTATAATTCTTTGAAACAGCCATATATTAATGGAGATTTTAATAATTATTCATCACTTAAATAGAATAAATTTAAAATGAATGGCAATCACATAACTATTATACATTTACGTTCAAATGAGAAATTTTTTTTAATTTATGAAATGTACCATTTATCTACATTCTGTATATTACATAAAAAACCATATTTACTTCTTAGTTCTCATTTTAGATCATATACCATATTTTATAAGGGCTCTTTCAAAAGTAGGCAGACTTTGTCAATTCTATAAATGCAATTCTGCAACTGTGGCCCACGAAGACATCCCTTGCCATGCTTTGCTAACCTTCCAAGCATTATAGGTTTAGCCCTAAAATTTTAAAAGTTCCTCAAAACATCATGAAAAAATGGTATTTTTTTATTATATTTAAAAAAATGACTCTCTCGCTTTGTACTTTTATTCCTTTTCCTCCAATATACATCTAATTGAAATCTGTTACATTAAAAGTTGGCAGAAGTTTTCATGTGTGATGAATAACAAAGCCAACCTTCTATACAGAATTTTATGACCATAACACTAAGAGGGTTAATATGGGTAAAGATACTATATAATTGTTATTTGCTTACTTACTGTAAAAGTCTAACTTAGTATGCATCACAGAAGTGGATGAAAAGAATATACTAATGATTACTAGACAAAAGATTGCAAATTAATTTTAAATCAAATTATGCAAAAACAGCCAGCAAGCATTTCAAAGATCAAAGAGGACACTGAGGAAAAAATGAGCAGATTAGCCTCAATAAAGTAAGCATTCCAAAAAAGTCAAATTCAGTGTGCAACTGAGTTTAGAAGTAAGTGCTCATTAATATCTGCAAGACATTGTTCAATGCAGACATATATTTATTGGTTCATGAATTGACAGTTAAACTTATTCCTGCATAGCAAAATGTCACAATATTTTTAAGAACGACTTGAAATTATCTCATACTTCCTCAAGATGAATATACATTTACTGAATAAAGAACAGAAGCTTCCTTGCTACACAGGATTTCTTCAATGAGTGGTAAAAGATTCCCAGCAAAAACTAGGGATGTTCAAATGAACAGAATGATCACTCCTAGAATAAGAACCCAAATCAAAGTATGAATTCAGCATTTAAAAACACAGTGACTCCTTGCCTTCTTCAAAATTTCCAACTTCTCAGAGAATTTTTTTTTTTTTTTTGTTTGTGTGTGTGTGTGTGTGTGTGTGTGTGTGTGTGGCTGGAACTAAGGAATATGAATACGAAAAGAAATATGATGACACAGTAATGCTGCAGAGAAAGATTCAGTTGAAAATAAGTATTACATATGATAAACTTTACAGGCCTAAAGATGGGTCTTGAAATTCCTCAATACATGTGAGCAAAAACCACCAACACAACATCGCAGCACAATATTGAATGATTTAAAAACATCATTTTTAAGCTTGTTTCAACGTGTTAAAGCTTGCCATGTACAGTTTTGCAAAGTTATAATGGAAAGGAATATTGAATTTTGCTCCAGCAGTGCTGGGTGTGAAAAGTACATAAATTTTTATTTCTTATTCCTTTTCATGTTAGAAATATCTTTAGTTGCAAATGTTACATTAAAATCCATTTGAAAACATCAATCATAATGAAAAATCACGAGTGAAGAACGACTTTTTTAAATGAAAACTTTATTCTCATTGAAATGTTGTATTTCAAAATTATAATTCTGACTATTAAAGAAATCAGAAACATTTAGGAGTACCTCAATAATAAATTTTCTCAAGCAATGCAGATTTTCTACTATACTTTAGAAACCAACAGCTGTTCATCAAAACCAACCTCCCAACCTAATAATAACATTCCCCAGAAAATGGATAATCCTAGAAATCCTATTCCTGACAAAGACAAAATAATAGCTTCCAACAGAAACAATTCCAAATTTACTCCTACGTTAAAATTTAAATTATATTCTGAAGCAGTTAATAACACCAGTCCCAATAAAAATTTCATCAAATTCTTTTGCATAATAAGGGAGCTCAAAAACGCCTTTGAAAGCAATTCCAGATTAATAACAACTTAGAATAGTTAATGCATGCTGAAATGGCAATGAAAAAAGTGTATTTATTCCTGATCTTTGAAGAAATGAGTATTCCAAAATAACATTTAAACCTGAGTCTTACTTTGATTTTTTATCCTGATACTCCTAGGCCAGAGGTAAAAACCTCATTTTTTGCCGTTGCCCTACACCAAGAAGTCAAAGGATGTGATCAGTACTTAGAAGGGTGAGTACCAAGACTCCCTGCATGATTTCCAGCTACCCTGCTTGCTGTTTTTTACTTTTTAAATAATAACGAATTTTACATTTATTTTATGGAAATGTATAGCTAACATATAGATATAATTTTAAATAGTAATTACATTAGAAATATTAAAATAATAGTAATCATTTATGAAATGTTTAAGTAAAAAAGTGAATAATTATGAAAAAAAAAAAGTTCCTGTAAAATCAAAAGATGTAGAGCATACTGCAGAACAAAAATTTCAAGAAATAAACGATAGCAAAAACTAATTCTCATTTTATGTATTCTAAATTTTATGTATTTGCTTTGCACTTCGCTAGTAATACTAACTCTCTGTGAATGAATTTCACCTGCACCCAGCATGTTTGCTTTACCGCATATAAGCTTGGATTCCAAAATCGCCAAGGCGGTCAAACTATTTTACATTGCATGTGCAAGAACTTGCCTTTTTTCCCCCCTTCTTGTTCTTTGGTATTACAGCACTGGGATCCAAAGAAATAAAATGTAGAATAATATTATTAGCTTAATGTTTTGAAACAAATTATTTATAAAAAAATAAAAACTGACTGCTTTATAAGGAAGATCTCTTTGCAGGATAATGCTAGACTATATATAGCATTAAAAAAGGCTGAAGTTTTGGGGAGGAAAAAATGGTGTTTAGTCTCTAAGCTATCCTTCATACAACTTAGACCTAGGAATCTGTGATTTCTAAGCTTTCTAGATATTTAAGAATTAATTAAATGGTAGGAAGTTTAGTATGGACCAGGAGTTGAAAGCAGCTACAACTGTTATTTAATATCGACTTCTAGAGAATGATCTACAGCTCATGTTTAAGAAGCTAGTAAATCTCTAGAAACAGCAGTTAAAGTTTGAAATTAGTTATTTTAGCAGCAAAAACATATCAAATCCACTAACTTGGACTCCAGATAATGACATCTGTCCATGAACTTTCTAAACAGCCCTTTTATGTATTTGTTATACAGTCTCATTAATTCTGAAGAAGAAAAATATACGTAGAGATAGAAGGTGGAATTTTTCTCATTTCTATCATACACAATTACTAAATAAGTAAAACAGCAAGATTATTTTTTGATCACTTCACACTACTAAAAGTAAAATGTATCAATTCTAAAATGATAGTATACATGAAACAGATCATATTTTTGGACGAAGCAGCTATATGATATCTGTGTTAAAAGATTGATGCATTGTGATATAAAAATTATCATTAAAATTGAAATAATACAATATTCAAAGTACTTAATAATACCTAACATGACTATTGTTAAGTTGCTCGAATGGTGCAGTTCAGATACATATATTTATGAAACACATATTCCACAGTATGAAGCTAATTACTTTAATATTTAGTTTGTACAGTAATTAAATTTTTGGATTCTAGACAGCCTAAATTGCATTTAACTAATATAATCTTCATTAATATTTTAGAATTTCAAACATAGTGAAACTTCATTAAGATGGACATTCTTAATCCTAGATGATTTTGATCATCTGTGGTGGTATTTGTCTTAAGAATATGAATATTTGTGACATTCAGTATTTATAATTAATTATTTTCTCTGAAATACTCATCACCTTTAGAAGTGACAGTCTTATTTACAAGCTATATTTAATTAAGAGATTAAAATTTTAAAACTTCATCATTTAAATCAATCTTAAAGTATACTTTATTTATGCACAGAGGGAAGTATGATCTTCAGTAAAGGCTGAACTATTCCTATACTAATAGAATAAATATACTGAAACATTTCCTTCCATGATTTCTTATTTTATATGATTATGTATCGTCACAGCGATTACTAACAATGGAAATTTTGTTATTATTCGCTGTGTTATTAAACTTCCATCGAGAAGACAGTACTTCTTGATTCAAAAGCAAAATCATACGATCCATGGATATGAAATGGGGTAAGAATGACATTGTTATTATCATCACAGCCATTTTTTAGGCTGGGAGGTAACTTTCAGAACTTCTTTAAAAATAACCTGCTTATTTTGTAAGCCACATATTGTGCACATCTTTAAGATCACAATTTATAAATAGTCTTTCATTTTACTTTCCTGCACAAGTAAAAACAATCTTCAGTCAGCAGGTAAAAGTACAATATGTAAAAAATTATCAGCATAGCTTAGATGTTCACTCATCCATTGAAGATGCATGTCTAATGGTGGATTGATTCCATGAGTAATTAATTTATATTTTGAACCTATAAGAAAAATGAAAAAAAATTTCACAATGCAGGTATATATCATATTGAAATACACAGAAAAACTGTATTTTAAATCTCACACATTATATTTAGTTACACTTAGCTTTAACAATGAAACAAAATCCTTTAATTGCATGCATTAGCATAATTTTGCAGTTTTATCATATCAATATTTTTATTAATATGGTACTAGATGATTCAGAAGTTGCATGCTTCAATCTTTCAAAATTTCAATTAAGCAAAATGGCAACTTTATTTTAGCATAGATTTTGAATAAAAATCTATACATTTCAAAGGGTGATCAAATACAGGTCCCTCTTCATCAAAAGGCAAAAAGCAAAATGAGAAAAACAGCAACTACATTTATATCAAAAGAAATGGGCTGAATAATGCAAACAAGGGCATTCATATTCCAGTTTTGTGAAATTTATTTCTGCTCTAGAAAAAGAGGAAAATGTGTTATATCACCTGTTTGGTCACTCTTGAAATTGATAGAATTTTACTCAAAAGATATGGCAAAATAAGGTTGCTTTTTCACCTAAATTTAAAATTTACATTGCCATATGTTTTTCTTCCAATTCGATTACACTTAAATGGATATTAATGGCTAATTATTTCAATGGATGACACCTATATACAAGTAATAAATGATTTTAAATTCAGCTGCAATTTATACCGTTAGCTTAAAAAAACTCTTTGTTTTGTGCAAGACAGAGACTTGTTTCTCCCAAGCAGAATGAATTTTTATGATGAACATTACTTCTTAATATATAAATTTGAGTGGAATGCAATCCTTCTTATACTCTTTGTTATTGACTTCAACATTTTGTTCATAATTTCCACCATTTTATCCAAACTTAAGAGAAACGGTGGCCACTTTATTTCTTATGTTGGATGCTTCCAGTTTCTTAAAACTCAGTTACTAAGTGGAAAATTATTGCGTTGTGAAGTTGGAAAGTCTCTTTAAATGCTCCAATAAGTTTTCAGTAAAAATGTATTACAAAATAATGCTCCATCATAAAAAAAAAAATTCATTCTTTTTGGAAAAATCTCATTCCTTCTTGCAACACACAGACTGTTTTTAAAACAAACGGCATAAACTGCAACTTAAATTTTAAATGATAAATTACATGCAACAGAGTATGGGTGTCAACCATTGAAAAAAATCTGCCATTAATATCCATCTGGAATTTCCACAGTTTTTGAAATTTTGATGTGCTCTTGGACAACCCTGTATATATCAACTACTGCTTAATAGTTTGTTTTTTAATCTAACATCAAGTTAAATGACAGAATACATTAGTATCTTAATAAATAAACTTTCTGATAACTTTGATTATATTATGCCATTACTTTATTTTGTGATGAGTAATGTTAGATATTTCCACCACTGGCTGATTCTGAGATTTCATTGGTCTTGTGGTGCCATCTATAATTGGCATTGTGAACCAATTGCTCTCTGGTTTGTGTCAGTTAAATATTTTAATGGTAATGTTTGTCAAGTGTGAAGTGCGTATTCATCTGGATATTGTTACTGGCTAAGGATAAATCAGGGGCCCTTGTTCTCCAGCTTGACACTTTTATCAATCACTCCAGCTGTCATTGAAGCATGCCATAAATAGCAGAGTCTTTCATGTGCACTTGCAGCACCCCCACGAGCCCTCTTGCAGCACCTTCTTTTGATAGGTGTGATATTTTGATAGACAGCTGTATAGTGTCTCAAGAAAACCAGTTTTGAGCTTGGTGTTGTTGAAAGACTTTGGTTAGTTGTCATGTATGTTGCCATTACTTTGTAGTGTGGAGTGTGAATGCTTACTTAGTGTAACTGTTATGCAATTGGTTGATTGGGCATTGCTGTATGAGCATGTGGTCAATGTTACTGTGACAAAGTTATTTTGTCTCTAGGATCGACAAAGCAGTGATTGTTATTAGACATTTCTGCAACTGGTTGATTTTGGAATCTCACTGGTCTCATAATGCAATCATAATACATGATTGGTATTGTGAATGAATTATTCTCTGGTTTGGTTTAGTTAGATATTTTTATGGCGATGTTTGCCAACAGAGCCTCTGTGAAGTGTATGTTCAGATACAGAAATGCTGTCAACTAAGGATAGAATCTGGGCCTTTTGTTCTCGAGTTTAATGTTTTTACTGATTACTCCAAAAGCAGCTACCACTGGAGCAAGCCATAAACAGTGATGTCTTTCATGGGCGATGCTTGCAATGCCCATGTAATTTAAACAGCAGCAAAAACTGAACTCTACACTGTACATGTAGCATCAAAAAATTAAATTCTAATTAGAATTAGGATATACAGTGTCTCACAAAAGTGATGGGACACTTGTGCTTTACAAAAGGAAACTGTAATAAAATAAATTTTAAAAACATGTAAAAATTTTTTGTAGGGTGTGTTTCATACTTAAATTTAGTAACAATTATTACATAAGATACATTTTCTCAAAATATTAAAATATTAATTTAATAAAAATACAATTGTTCAGAACGGAGCAAAAAATGGCTCACATAAGTGATGGAACACCATTAGATACTACTACGTACTAAAATAAAAATATATTTTGGGGTTTTTATTTTTACTCAAAAGCAATTGACAATAATTTATAAAATCATCTGCAGTATTTCTCTCCAGTTTGTTTTAGAAATTTTGTGTTTTTTAGCTCTGTGCAGCCATGAATGCTAAACGAAAAGAAACTTTGCCTGAAATTCGAAAATTAGTTATTAATTTGCATATTGAACATGGAAATTCTATTAGAGAAACTGCTGAAACACTTAACTTGAGTCATTCAACAGTTTCCAATATCATTAAACGATATAAAAAGAATCATATGATTCAGGATAAAAGAAGACCTGGCCGACCATCAAAGCTATCCAATGGAATAAAGCGAATTATCGTTCGGAAATATTAAAAAAAAACTCCAAGAATGAGTGCTCCTAAAGTTGCTGCCTCTGATTTACAAGCATTATATGGAGTAATTGTTAATCCTGAGACTATTAGAAGAGTAATTCGATCTGCTGGATATCACGGTAGAGCAGCCAGGAAAAAATTCTTCATAAGTGAAAAGAATAGACAAAACTCAGACTGGCTTTCGCAAAATCGAACATAAATAGGAATTCTGATTACTGGAATGAAGTTATATTTGCTGATGAGAGTAAATTTAATATATTTGGTTCTGACGGTAGAATCTTGGTGTAAACCCAGGAAAACCCAGGGAAAGAATTTTGCAAACAGAACTTGGTGCCAACAGTAAAAGATAGTAGAGAAGGAGTTATGGTATGGGGGTGTATGTCGTACTGCTGGAGTTGGTAATCTTTATTGACAGTTTTTATTGACATTTATTTATGTTTATATTTATTTGATTTTATTGACAGTCTAATAATCAGGACAAGTATATTGACATTTTAAATCAAAATTTTGAAAATCTTCATCACGAAAATTGAACTTTCATAACGATTTTAAATTCTACCAAGACAATGGCCCCAAGCACACTGTTTTGAACGCTAGACTCTGGCTGCTGTATAACTATCCTGAAATAATAAAAACACCACCACAATCTCTAGACTTAAATCCCATAGAGAATATTTGGCAAGAATTGGAATCAAGAATTCGCAAACACACCATTTCTTCAAAGCAACAATTAAAATCAGTGCTTCAAGAAGAATGGGGTAAAATTGCTCCAGAAATCATAAAAACATTAGTCGAATCCATACCAAGAAGATTAAATCATGTTTTAAAAGTAAAAGGAAATCCAACAAAATATTAAAACCTTTTAAAAAGTAAAATTTTTATGTGAGCCATTTTTTGCTCCGTTCTAAACAATTGTATTTTTATTAAATTAATATTTTAATATCTTGAGAAAATGTATGTTATGTAATAATTGTTACTAAATTTAAGTATGAAACACACACAAAAAAAATTTTTACATGTTTTTTTAATTTATTTTACTACAGTTTCCTTTTATAAAGCACAAGTGTCCCATCACTTTTGTGAGACACTGTATAATGAATGAGCTAAGTTTTAAATTTAAATAAAATAAAAAGGTTTAAGCTAAATAAAACATGAGCTAAGTTTTAAATGCAGAATACGCAAAATGATGTAAATGTTTGTAAAAGTCATCAGTTAACTATAGCATCATTCATTTCAACTAGATGTATGATGAATTATATAAATTAAATAAATTATTAAAAATAAAAATGATATAAGAATTATGTACATTGTTTTTAAATCCCTTAATTTGTAAAGTAAGCATAATTTTGATTTTTTAGTCAAATGGCAGTCTGCTAAGAACTGGTAATCTGCCAAGTAACGAGGATGATAAACTAAAGATCTTATGTTGTGCGAAATAACAACATTTGTTACATTGTGAAAATGATAGAAAGCTTTTTTTTTTTCCCCAGATTGAAAAACTTATGCCATATTTAGTTTCAATCAGTAGCATTAAAATGTTCTTGAATAATATATAACAGGCTTTGAAAAATTCTAAACTCTTAGGACATAGCAAAACTACTTAATTTAATAAAAAGTATTTCAAAAAATCATTTCTTTTTTATTGCGACTTTTATTTTTGTTTGAATTTAATTAAATCTTGAACATCTTATTTTGAAATGAAATAAATAATGAAATTTCATTGTATTTGATTTGTATTGTATTCATTGTATTTTATTTTAATTATTAAATTAAAGATAAACAATTTAACTCAAATCTGGCAATATCAAACTAATGATATCTTTGATTTAATGTTTTTCATTTGTTTACCTTGAAATGTATGGAACCAAAATGATGTTTTCAAAAGCAATAGGTATAATTGTAAAACGTATGATACTTCTTTCAAATGATGGTAAAACTCGTGATATTTTCCAAATAAAATATGTGGCAGTTGAGAGTGCCATATGTTTCAGTTTAAATGATGCCATAGCAAATGGTAACTCCAACTTTGCTATTTGCAACCATCACATAGATTAACAGGTTGAAAACTGTGGGTCTCAAACTGATGAAGAAATTCTTGATGAACAGACAGCGGCTACAAAATCATCTGATTTCACATAAAGATATGCCAAGTTAATGAATTTGTACAACCTGTAAAAGTTGTTCTATCAAAAGAAGTGAATACATTAAAAGTCTCTTCCTCATCAAATAAGTACAAGAAGTTCAATAACAAAGACAATGAAAATGTATTTTTGTTATGATCATTTTGATAAAACAATGATCAATACTACTCCAAAATGTAAAATAAAGGAAAACTGCAATAAAGACATTTTTTTTTTTACGGAAATATTTTTGTTTATTATATACTTAAAATTTAAAACCATCATATATTTGGCAAGAACAAACAAAAATTTTAACATTTTGAGATAGGTATAACGCTTAAAAATTGACTTGATATGAATGCCTTATTTTAAGAATATGCCCTGATTTAACAGTAATGCTCATTATTGCCTTAACATATCGATATTTGACAATATTTAATACCTTAACAATACAACATAAATTGACAGAGATTATTCTACAGAAGCGGAAGCTTGGAAGTTCTTCAAGAGAGCCCTGTTTATTTTTTCAGTGTAGCAGATATTATCATTGTCAGTTACAAACAGTATTTCAGGAAATAACATAATAACCTAATTGAATATTCTTTCATTTAAAATTATTTAAATAGAAAAAAAAATGTTTTGTTTTCAATGGTTTCAAGTTATATGCTGAATAAAATTTAAGCTCATTATATTTACGCTTATTACTAAATTACACTTTTAAATAAAGGGTTCTCCTCCCCCAGAAGCTAGATCAGGTTAATTTATTAGAGCAAAGCACACAAAGGTCATCCGCCTACAACTGGCAACTGTATAACATAGAAAAATGATACCCGTAAAAGTTCATGCTAAATGTATTGAATTTAATCGAGATAGTCCTATATTAGAGAGATTTTGCACTATGTACGTGAACTACTTTACGTACGTAAACTACTATGCAGGTATATGCACGCACTACTAGTTGCGCAACCGTACCAGCCAGTGGTGGATGTATAGCTAGTAGAAATGGAAGCTTTGAAATCTATTTTTCCTTCAGAGTTTTTTGAAAATCCATTTAAAATGTTCAAATTTTTATCGGATAACGATAGAACAATGGCATTTCCAAACTTGTTTATTGCTCTCCGAATATTCTTAACTATTCAAGTAAGCGTTGCTTCTGAAGAGAGATCATTTTCGAGGCTAAAATTAATAAAAAAACTATCTGAGATCGAGAATGAATCAAGATAGATTAAATAGTTTAGCAGTTATGTCGATTGAAAGTGAAGATGCAAGGAAATTAGATTTTCAAAAATTTTAGAAGAATTTACAGAACAAAAACTTAGAAATATGTAAATTCATGTATTCATATTTGGTGATGTAAATTTATATTCAATAAATGTTTTTGTATTTTGAACATTTTAATTTTTTAATTTACGTAGAAGTTTACCATGTCTGATGATCCATGACATTTAATATATTTATATATATATATATACTGAATTTGAATTTTATTTAAATATTTAATATATAGAGAGGGCCCTGCACCTATTCTATCTGGGTCTGTTCATAAACAAAAATTATGACTTACATGAAAAGAGAAAGGCACAAAAAAAAAGAATAATATAGTGTAATACAGTGTAATTAAGTAATAAGAATCAATAAGATGAATTCTTTACCTATTTTATCTATAACATTAGACACAATAGTTTTGAGTAAATCCCTTAAGGTCATCATCTCTCCAGATTCATGGACAGGTTTGATTAAAGTTTGAATTAATGAAACTCCTGGCTAGTAATAAAAAAAATTAAAAGTAGCAGTTAAATTAATAAAATAATTTCACTGAAAATGGAATTCATGAACTTATGTTCAGAAAAATTTTAATAATAAATAAGCAAACTTAATATAAAAAATTAAACCAATAATCATAACAATAATAAATAAATAAAATTTTATAGTTCATTACCTGATATAGGCGGAAAGGAATGTGTTTAAAATATTGATCTCCAGGATTTTCCATCAGCCTTTTATTCACAGCCCAAAACTGGTCAAACTTATCTATAATAATATATTATCAATCATGTATATGAGAATGTAAAATACAATTTTTTAAACAATTTTATAATCCTAATAATTTTATTTTAATGTAACACCCTAGACATACATGAACTTAAAAAATGTATGGAAATAAAAAGCATTATTATCTAAAAAAATACAGTATGAGAACATGTGTCATAAAATTCTTAATGAGTTTTATATTTTAAACCATAAATATTTTAGAAATAGAGGGTGTTTACAAATTTTTGTAATAATTTTGATTTTCTCCATGAATTTAAATATTAATTTTAAAATATGAATGTGACTGGCATCAAATTTGAATAAGGTTTAATTATCATCTGCAGCATTAAAAATACTCTTTTCTTTAAAACGTCACTGAAAAATAAAAAATTGGATCAAAGGCTATATTTTTACTCTGTCCGAAGAAAAATACGCTTATTCGATTGTTAAAAAAGATGTGAAGAGCATGGTTTTAATATTTCTACTCGTAAAATAATTAATATGAAAGGACTGAAACATCAAAGTTTACGTCTGACTGGGAGAAAGGCAAAAAATGCATTAGGTACTACAAAACTTTTATTACATCTAAAGTCCCATCTCACGTTTTAAAAAACAATCCAGCCCTTCAAAGAACTATTGCAAAATCTTTAAATATCTCTATAAAAACTGTAAACAAAATTATAAAATCAGATTCAAAGCTAATCGAAACAAAAAAGCATGATGTTCATCGCCTAATGCCGAAACATGTTTCTCAGCGTAAAACTATGTGCAGATTACTGTATGAAAATTATTTGGCAAGTGGAAAATGGAAATATATTGTTACAATTAATGAGGTTTGGATATACTTATCTGACTGCAACAAGAAAAGATTGATTAACTACCAAAAAAGAGGAGAAAAAGACTTAATATGTTGGTTCAGACAAATCAAGAAAAGTTTTTCTAAAGGTTATTACTCTCTTACAATGGAAAACAATATTCTCTTACAATGGAAAACTTAAAATAAGGAAAGTGGGAAAAAATGTCAAAATTAATTCAGATTACAATCAGAAATATGTTTTAATACCAATTTTTAAAGAAGAAATTCCATCTCTTTATTCAAACAATTTTCACTGCGTTAAATTCCATCACGATAAGGTTCGAAGCGATATCTCTAAATTTACATCTCTTTTTTGAAAAAAAAAAAGAGAAATGAAACTGGAATTGAAGCTATTTCATTTAAATGCATCCCACCCAAGTCCCCTGATGTGTCTTCTATGGATTACTGTGCATATGGACTTAAACAAGCTCTTTATAAGCAGCATCCCCAAACATTGGATAGACTCTGGAAGAGTGTGAAGGAGGAGTGGAATAAATCAACCTTGGTGGTTTAAGAAATGGACTTTTATCTTGGAAATCAAGATGTAATATAATAGTTCAACAAAAGGGCTATCAGAGTGAACATATTAGAAAATAAAATTCGAAGGTTTGTTTATATATATAAATCTTTGCAAAATCGTTACAAAATTATGTGAACACTCAGTGTAATTTTAGCTTTAGAAATATTTATATTTAAAAGAGATAAATGCATAAAAATATAAAGTTTGAAATTTTCATATTACCCCAATTAAAAAAATTACCTTTCTCAAGTCCTTGCCACAGTTCTTTATGCTCCTTTGGAACCATGCTCTGGACCAGTTGAGTGCGATGTTTTAAAGCACTTGCTTCTTTCACAGTTGCCATGAAATGGGATTGAACTGCCAACTTATTAGGACAATGAATTAATTCAGACTCTGGAAAATCCTGTAACAATTAAAAATTAACATCTTATTAGCTCATTAATGTGCATGCATATATACGCATTAAAAAGTCCTCATAAATTCCATGAAACAAAATTTATTTTATTACTGAAAATAACAGCCATAACTAAATAATGATGTCTGATTACAAATCAAAATCTTTCCGTTCTGAAGTGCAAGAAATTTTAAGCATGCAAATGGATTCCTGATGATTCGTACTTATAAAGAATATGATTTGATAATGGAAATTAAAAAGTTAGAAACATTACTGCAACTTTTAAGTGTTAAGTCTTAATTCATTAATTTCTTATAGTAAATGAAAGATAAAATTTAAATATCTCATTAGTAGGTGTAAAGGAATCAGTTCTGTTTCTGAAAAATTACTGTCTACTTTTCACCCTCAATCTAATGAATCTTCCACAATAATTTTTCCTTTTTAACCAAATTTCAGTGAAATTTTCATGCTATATAATTTAAAATTATGTTTTATTTCTAAAACATGTTAGTTATTTCACTACTAAAATGTAAACAAGACACCTCAGTATAAATAAATCATAAAAATCACAGCAGGGATTTCTGTAAGATGTGGGTAGAAAAAAAATAGCCTGATGATTCATAGTATCTGAAATGTTTCAGGTTGTATTATAACAACTTTACAAATTTGTCATGCTGATCTTCCTAATTTATATTTATGCATGTTGTAGCTGAGGAGAAAATAAATTAAAAAAACTGTGTCAATGTGAAAGCAGGACATTTTGTACCCCCAATACCGTAGTGCTACACAGCTATTAAAAAGAAAGCCATAATAAACTAATTCAAATATTTCAGAGATTATACCACCCTCTCCAAAGTGAATTACATCTATTAAAAAATCAATTATATTTGTTTAAAAAAAAAAGCAGGAAGAATACCAAAAGTCCAATGTGCAATTAAGAATCTAACTATTTAAAAAGTTCACAATCTAAAAAATGTCTCAATATATAATCAGTAGGAAAAGAAAAAATATGAGAGTAAGCCTGTGAAGCAGGTAATCAGTTAATAGATAATAAATAATTTATTCATTTCTTTACTCATCATTAGTAAGCCTGTGAAGCAGGTAATCAGTTAGATAATAAGCTATTTATTCATTTCCTTACTCATCATTAGTAAGCCTGTAAAGCAGGTAATCAATTAATAGATAATAAATTATTTATTCACCCATCATTTTATTATTACTAACATACTCATTTATTCACACTTACTGCAAAATTCATGAAATGAAAAATAATAAAAATATGAACACTGCTTAGCTGCATAAAAAATTATCTTAACAGCATGTCACACCTTCATTACAGCTTTATTTATTATAAGGAAACAAATTTTAAAATAATCATAATAGATATGCCACTGTCAAATTAGTCAAATACAAGAGATTTTATTGCAACCAATAAAATATTGTTTATAGTTAGTTTAATGAAGCCAAAAGAATTACTTAATTATTAAAAACTTATGCAAGATTTTACCACTTTGTAATGTACAAGCTTAAATTTTGTCTGACAGAACTTTAACTGAATCTAAAGAGTTTTACTTATTTATGGAAAAAAAAAATTGGTAGGTTTGAATTAAACAGAAACAGATGCCTTTTACTAATACAGCAGCACCCCACGCTTAAGTCACAGTATAAAAAATAGACTTCCATTATATTGCATGTAAGAAACTGAAAAAGGGAAATAAATGCATAAAAAAATTATATATATGCTCTTACTTCAAAATGGACTGTAATATTCCATGGCAGTTGAGCATCAGCTCCATAAAAGTCAAACAATAATCCTACAGGATAATGCCTGCACAGATTGAAGAATGTTCTTTAAAAAAATGGTTATCCAGTAAAATTGCTAAGAATATCATCTTAACCTTTTGACTATGAATTAAAAAAAAAAATTACTTTGTTTTCTGTTCAAGTGAACAAAATATGTTATTAATAAGATAAATTTAACATTTGGGATTTTTTTGACAAATGGCTTTCAAACCGAAGGCAAAACACTTATGTCCCAGCCGTCGTTAATGGTGGGATAACCATAGGTCCCATACGTAGCGATTGACGTACTATAAGCACATTTATTATTCTGAAAACTTTATTATACGGAACAGATTTACGCATTCTTTGCATAACCCAACATTACACATCGAGCAACTCATAATTGTTCTTTTCTCTATGTTCATTTATGTAGAATGAGCGCAGGAGCATCTTGATTTTCCAACTGTTAGAAAATGATCCCCAACATTCAGGAGATTCTAAGTACTTCTTAACCCAGCAGTAATTTTTTAACTTTTAGTGTGACATGTATGTCCTATTAAAAGTCAAAGGGTTAAGATAATCAAAGACAAATAAAATATAATAATTACTGAAATATAATACAGCAAAAAAATTAGATAATTTAAATTTCCTTATTTAGCTATTTATGAATGAACTTAACTCTTTTGATTATACAAGTAAAGATTCCAATATTCAGCAATATTTTTGTTTAGATATGTATAAATATAGCAGAGTGTATTAATCAAGGTTTACATAAAAATTCTATGAGTTGTCACAGAAGTATTTTCATTTTTTTTTCAAATTATTTTAATAATTAGAAAGCTACACAGCTCAAATATTATGCACTTCTCATGGTGCTTAGAAAGCTTTAGCTATATAAATAATATTATATACTTCCATCGTGTTTAAGAAACTAGATCTCATGTATACAATAATATAAGGTATCTCATGTATACACTAATATAAAATAGTAGTACAGTCAAAAGTCGTTAATTCGGACACCCATAATCCGGACCTCCTACAAACTTTCTGCGCATGCGTCACCTTGACGCATGCGCGTAAGACCTTTACTGCTGCGAATTTGCGTGTGCGCGTGCGCAAAATACATTTACGAATGCGCGTTTAATGTATAACGGATGGGATAAGCTAAGCTAAAATTATTTAATTATCTATTTCAGTTAATGTTGCAGATTGCGTTGTTCCTTAATCTTTGAATTGGATCCGGATTATTATTTTTTGCAAACTGTTAGAGCAATTTTATAAAAGTAAGCTTGAACTTTCGATTATGTCAAATAGAATTTCCGATATATATTTACTAATATGTAAAGGATATACAAAGCGAAAGTATCTTTCGGAGTCCATTAAACAAAAAGTGGAATTGCTGCTAAAAATGGATAAAGGCATATCCTTTGTTTATCTAAAATTTAACGTTTGTTTATCTAAACTTTGTTTATCTTTAATGCCGTGGCGGCGTGCAATGAATTGGAAGTTGATCTGTCAGCACTATCCTTATCTTAAGGGCAGATGTTTTTATTTTATTTGGCTTATAATTGCTTACTCAATGTAGTATTTCATCTCGATGTACTCTGTCTTTGATATGATTAAAATCATATTCCTCGTCATTATAATTCGCTTCCGATAGCGAAGAAAGTGACAGAGGTTATTGAAAACGAAAAAATTTCGATTGACAAATTAGTCGGCATTCTCGACACAGCAATTATAGGACTTGAACAGCGGAACTTTGTAACTGAACAAGAAATTATGTCTGTTTGTAGAATTAAAGAGAATGTATTATCGCATAAAAAACGAAGCAACTTAAACAACTTACATTGAAAGAAATGTTTAATAAGTAAAGAAATAAATATTAAGCTTTTTTTGTAAATTTTTGATACCCTTTAGATCATAATTGTTCTTTATTTCGTAAATTACGGTTTCATATTTTTAATTTTATAATTTCTGCATGCCATTTTACCAGATTTAAACTGATGATCTATAATCCAGAAAAATCGATAATCCGGAATCGCCGTAGTCCCGACGAGTCCGGATTAACGACTTTTGACTGTATAAGGTTTTTTGGGATTAATTGGGATAAAGTAACTTTTTCAAAAAATTTTAAACTGGCTGCCAGCTGGTGCTAACAGGCCTCTGAAAACAGTTTTATCTGCCTTACTGTCACCTCAATGTCTCCTTTTGACTACTCAAAACTGGTTTAGTTAATAAATTATGATTATTGCACCATTTTGAAGTTTGTTTCTGTGAGAAGAGGAAGTTATGCTTGCATACTTTTAAAGTATGTTTTGCATTTGTTCATTTTAGCATACTAAAAATAGATGTAACGGCTAGAGAGACACTTAACAATGACACATCTATGACTGTAATAAATATTGTTTTTGTGGTTGTTACTGCATAATCGAGCATTTCTTGAATTAGGAGATGAAATGAAACTGGATCAACTTCTCCAGAAAAAAAGGGAAAACAAAATCTCATCAATTATCACTCCAAAATGTCATTATTAATCCAATAAAAACTAGCAAAGACCTTAAAAAATATCGAAACTGATATTCATCCTTCAAAGGTGAGAAAGTCTATTAAAAAACAACTTTCAACATGTCAAATGAAGTGAAAATGATTACTGTGGGCAAAAAAGATAAAAATCTTGGACCATAAATGACTGGCAAAATGTCATTTTCAGCGATGAGATTCACTTATTTGTTCATGGTTGCACATCTAATCTTGTTAGATGAAGCAAGGTTGAATTAATAAAACCTCACTATATTCAACAAACCATAAAATATTCTCAAAAATTAATCTTTTGGGATTTTTCACAGCAGTTGGCACTGTTAGTGTAGTTCCCATTGATTTAATGCGGAATTCATCGAAATATATATAAATTTTAATGTAGGCATTCTTGAAAAACTTTACAGGAACATATCAGCATAAATTGGCTCCATGCAACAATTCAAAATCTGTCAGAAAATTCACGCTGGAAAATACAATCATTGTGCTAGATTGGTATGGAAATTCACTAGACTTATATGCAATTGAAAACTTGTGGCACATTCTCAAGGAACATCTTAGCAAAATGGATTGTACAACAAAAGAGCACATGATTAAGAATGGTATAAAAGTGTGGTTCCATGATAAAGGAGTAAAAAACATAAGCACAAGACTAGCAGAGTCAATGCCTAAGCACATCATAGAGGTCACATGTGCTAAAGAAAGACATATTTCCTATTAATTTATTATTATCACTGTATATGAAGGTATGTACATAAATTATAAAAAAACACTTTGTTCCCATTAATTTGCACCCTATATTATAAAACGTCTCTGAACTAATGTTATTGCTAAGAAGCAAATACTGAAAATGAACTTTTAATATTTAATCAACTTCAGATGTTACATACTTTAGTGCATGACTGACAAATTGTTGAAACAGGTTTCCCAGCATTTGAAAATTACATTGAAATTCAACTGCTATACTTTTTTTAAGTATATAATAAAATCGGCATCCTTTTATTGTTAATTTCACTTCCACAATCATAAAATAGTCTAATAGTGCCAAAGCAGGAGAAGAAAGAGGATAATTCACTTGTTATCAAATTAACTGCTTCATATGAACACTAAGTGGTGTTGCATTATCATGCAAGAGAAAAAGTAGATTTTTTTATGTCACAAAATCGCATATACCACTCAAAAGTGCAAGACTAGGATACTGCAGCTCTTTTTGCACACATTTTTATAAGTTTTTTATGGGTTTCAGTCATAATTTTTCAAGCTTAAAATAAAAATTTACATGCATTCTTGAGCAATCACTAAATAATGCTTATGCCCAAAAACATGTTACCAAGAATACAAACTAATGAAGAGGATGAAAACAACTTATATAATTTTGCTAGCCAAATAACTAAGATAGCTAAAAATAGATTCACATGCAAGTAGTGCTATCTAATGACGTTTTCTATTTCTCTGAAGTATATCCAATTCTGAAACCTTTTAAACAAGTCTTGTATTATGTACTTCTTATGGCATTTATATATTGTAAAATGATTTATGGTTGTTCACTAATTCAAAATAAATACAGTCAAAAGTCGTCAATCCAGACGCCCATAATCCGGATCTCAAAGCTACAAACTTTCTGCGCGTTGACGCATGCGCATACGCATTTACGTATACGCGTAATACCTTTTTGCATGCGCGTAATACTTTACGCGCATGCAAAAAGTACTTTAATACTTTTGTAAAAAGTACTTTAATACTTTTAAAAAATACTTTACGCGTATGCGCGTAATACCTTTTTGCATGCGCGTAATACTTTACGCATGCACGTTTAATGTATAACGGACAGTATTGGATCCGGCTTATTATTGTTTGCAGACTGTTAGAGCAATTTTATAAAAGTAAGCTTGAACTTTCGATTATGTCAAAAAGAATTTCCGATTCTGGAGCTACCAAAGGATCTACAAAGCCAAAGCATGTTTCGATGTCCATCAAACAAAAAGTGGAATTGCTGCAAAAAATGGATAAAGGCATATCCTTTGTTTCTTTAACCATTCCGAAATCTGTTTATCTATTTCACACCGCTCTGCGGGGGTGGGGGGAACGTCGAGGCATGCAATGAACTGGAAGTTGATCTGTCAGCACTATCCTTATCTTCAGGGCAGATGTTTTTATTTTATTCAGCTTATAATTCCTTACTAAATGTAGTATTTCATCTTGATGTACTCCGTCTTTGATATGATTTAAATCAAATTCCTCGACATTATAAATATCACGAATATACATCAAATAGTTTTCTGGTTGCAATTTTCTAATTTTGACTATGCGTAATGTATGCTTTACGCATGTGCGCGTTGAAAGAAATGTTTAATAAAGTAAACAAATAAATATTAAGCTTTTTTTTTTTGTAAATTTTGATACCCTTTAGATTATAATTGCTCTTTATTTCATAAATTACGGTTTCATATTTTTAATTTTATAATTTCTGCATGCCATCTTACCAGAAACTGATGATCTATAATCCGGAAA